CAACAGCCAAAGGGTCCTTTATTAACTTGCAAATGACCACATCTAGATTTCAGAAGGCAGTGGGGGGAAGAGGAAGGTGCCCCCACTGAAAGTATTATGCAGAGACAGAGGAAACTCACTGCAGGGATGAAGGTACGGTGATGGTGGGGTCCAGACGTCAGGATGGTGTCAGACAGCAACAGAGAATAATGACAAAGTGAAAACTCACACAACTGAGTGCTGTCATGTGCCCTGCTTTGAGCTAATATTCTACGTGTATTATCTCCATAAATCCTTACAGAAGCCTGTACAGTACAAGTTCTCAAGGTTGGCAATTCCTGTGCTCTCTTCCCTCATACTCTGATGCATCTGAAATAGAAAAGCAAGACACCAGGGAGAGTGACAATTGCAGTGTCACTGGTGTGGGAGACAGGAGACCTGAGATCTGTCTTCTTACTGCATGCAGCGTGACCTTGGAGGAGCCATAAGCCTCCTGAACCGTAGATGCCTCATCTATCATATGGGGTATAAATTTCTGCTGGCCCTTCCCCAAAGGACTGAGAGGAACAAATGACTTAAGGCACTGAGGAATCTGTACAAAGTCAACTCTCTCATTATTAACATCAGTTCTTTCCAATTCCAAAGGGACTCTGATGAAAAGTGAGTACAAGTGAAGATGTGACTTATTACTCAAGGTTAAAGAGTCTCAGATGGACCAAACAGAGCCACCATGCAAGGGACAAGTCTAGCCTGTCTGGAAAGGTTTTATCATACTGACACAGTCACCCATAGAAAGGGTTGGGGGGTTTCTAGACCCCAGCTGGGCAGAAGTCAGACAGAGCAGTGGGGGCCATGGAGGACAGAACTCACACTGATCATCCATACACAAGGCTGGGTGAATGGCCAGAGTAACCCCTGGACACCCTGGTCTGAGATGCTGGATGGTCTTCCCCCACTATTAGCCAGTCTCAGTCTCCAACTCTTTCTCTTATTTAGTAATATTTCATGCTGCAGGATGCCAAACTGTTTTAGTGAAGGTTGCCTGCCACTTGCTGGAATGCTGCCAGTCTATCTCAAATACATGAGAGGCATTGGGTGGCCAGAAGACTCATCCAGTAATTATAGTACATTCATTTAACATTTATTGATAAATATTCATGCAGCACAGAGAACATATAAATCATGGAAAATGTATCCTTCAGACCTGATCTTTGACATATCATTGGAATGCTTTTCATATTTCTTTTCCCTCAATCTCCTGGGTGACACAGACCTCTATCTCCTAATTCTCTGGTACCTCCAGAAGCATCAGGACATTAACAGAAGGGTCTGGGCAGAATGAGCATCTGGCCTCTTGTTTTGAGCCGTATCCCAGATTGGCTTGTGCCTTGAAAATATGATGAACAACACAAAGCACATGCTCAGCCTCGTACACACCCTCATCTCAATCTGCAGATTCCCTTATCAGTATTTACATTCATTATACATCCTTCTTCCAACACCAGAGGAATTTTCTGTGCTTCAAGTTTTGTGGGAGACATTACAGAACTAGGTAACGCCAGATACCTGCTTTCCAAGACTCTCTTACAGCCATCATAGGAACACAGCACTGAAGTTCTGCCAAACACACAGAGCAGCACCAGAGAGGAATGAAATGAAGAATGAATTCCTCAAAGAAGTAGGAACTTCAAAAAATTCTCTCCTCAGAGATAGCTGGCTGAGAAAGAGCAAGTTCTAGAACAGTGGTGGCAGGCGCCCCATTCTGATGATGTTTAACTCTGGAGCTGGACGAAAGTGCTGGCATTGCTCTTATAGGGAAAGTCTCCTGGGTGACTGGTTCTGCTGTGAGCTGGGTGATCATCAGGTTCCATTTTCCAGCTTTGTGTAATTCTTTAAGACATTCAGTATCATTTTTCATACATTTCTTTCCTGCTTAACTCTGTTAAGTCTGATCCTGTGGCTTGAAACTAGGAATTCCAAGTGATATAGCCCAGGTATATATGACACTAATAATAATAGCAGCTAACATTTATTAGGATTTTCCGTATTACAGGCACTATCCCAAAAGGTTTTTATATAATAACTCATTTACTCCTAAAGTGAAATCTATGAAGCATCATCAGCAACCCAATTTTACAGTTGAGGAAGCAGAACCTTCAAGAGGTAAGTAACTTTCTGAATGTCTCATGTTTGACTCTCCTTCTACCATCTCCTAAGAAATGGGCCTAGGTGTGGAGTTAAAACTTAAAGCCATAACCTGTTGTCATGGTGCACACCAGTAATTTTAACACTTGGGAGTCTGAGTCGGGCGATGCTGTTAGTTTGAGGTCAGGCTGGGCTATATAGTGAGTACCAGGCTAGCTTAAATTACATAGCAAGACTCTGTCTCAAAAAAAAAAAAATACAGCTATCATATTTGGGCTTATATCTCTGCATTCTTTGTGTTTGTGCCCAGGATGAACATTCTTTAAGACACAACATTTATGCCATAAAACTGTGGCCCTTTTCCTAGATCAATCCTGCTACAAACATATGGATCAACAGCCTACATAAGATAAGGACCCTGCAGGCCCTTGCAGTTCTAGAACTACCTGAAGGGTTTGTGGCCTCAGGACAAGTTATTCACTGGGAAGACATAAGATGCTCTCTGGAAGTGTCACTGTTGACCTCTTCATCACAATCTTGCAAAAGAATTAGTCTGAAAGCTATGAATATTGAGCTACTCTCACATCTGGAGTAGCTTTGTAATGCAGAAAACTCATTGCAGAAGGCCAACTGTCAAGGTGGAAAGTCAGATATAAACATAATTCATCACTGAGAGGCTCTGCTTATGGTAGGGTCATGATTTGTAACCTAGGCATGATTAATGGTCTTATCTTAGTTTTCATTTTGGAACATACACTTTGGCACGGTGGCTGGGTTTGATGCTTTAGTCATCTTTTCTCATTCCACAAGAAAATAAAGTAACTGCTTCTGATAGAGAAGGAAGAGGAGCAGGGGGAGGAAGAAGAGGAAGGGATCTGTTGATGTCAGAGTTTTTGTTTTTCATTTTCTTGAATCAATGACAATAAAGGACATACTAGAGGTGAGGGATAAGGCTGTTTGCATTATAGCTGAGTGAAGATCTGGAGCTTGTCCCCTGCATTTTTGATGCTGCTATTATGTGCACGTCCAAATGCTAAGAAATAGTGGAAGCTGTGTCCTAAAATTTAGGGAAGTTGAGGGCATTTTGTTCAGAAATATTCTCTTCTAAAACTTCTAAAACAAAAATGTTCTACATTTTACGTTTTCCAGAGTAGGTTGTATGAAAGTTTTCTTTGCAGAGAATCAGTGATGGCTTGACTGAGCCTGGTTCATTTAAGCTAAGTGCACAGGGGAGACACAACTCCTTCAGTACAAACAGAAGAATGGAATAAACCTGATCAACATCAGCACTGACTTAGAGCACCCATTCCATGTCCTACAAAATCCTACAGTGATATGGCTCTGTTCCTCCTGCCTCTTAGATCTCATCAGTATTTTCTCTAGCCATGCTTGCACAGACAGACTCCTGACCAATGGATCTATGTTGTGGGATTTAATACAGAAAATCCTGATCAGAGAGGTAGGGGCAAAGTATTTACATCTTAGGGTCAGGTGATGAGCTCCAACTCCACTCTCTTTGAGAATCTACAGTATGGTGAGAGGCATTACTGTAAAGTCCTTTAACAAAGCTGCTCTCCTTATTCTCCAGTATGAGACTTTCCTACCGAGGTCCACCAAGAGCAGTGCCCTCAGTGGGATTCATGTAGTAGCGGTTGGCATGGTGCAGGCTCTGGTGCCCTGGGTTAGCCCTGGCCAAAGTGAGTTGCTAAAGGACCATAGAAAAGATGATGAATTGCATTTTTCTAATAGTTTACAAACCATGATATTCAAAGGATCATTGAGGACTTTTTCAGCCTCACCAGATCAAGAAGAGTATATATTAGAGCTTCTGCAATTGTGAGAAAATAGCATTTCTGTTCTTTGTAAAATTGCCCAACCTCAGGTATTCTGTGGGCAAAAAGCGGGCAAAAGTGCATCATGACACAGTTTGCCTTTGTCCTCCCTTTCTACCTTCTTTTTTTCTCTATTTCATTTCTGTTCCCCACCTTGCTAAAATCTCTTTTTAGAGAACATAGTCAGGAAATGAATGGTCAGAATCAAATTTCTCCTGCTCTTATACCTAACCTAAGAGGGCGGAAGAAATTCATCTTGGGAGCCAAAGTGAGAAAGGGAACATTTTGTAACAGTTGAGCATCAGGAAGAGACTGCAGAGTATTGCTAACAATCTTTCCAAAGAATATTCTTTTTTAAATTCAAAGAATTGGAAAGAACTAATCTTAAACAGAATCTTGTTTCATTTCACTGAGTACAGGACTTGGTATATAGTCAATCAAATACTGAACTGACAGGTGTTGGGATGACTAAGTACTTAGAATATAAAAATATACCCCAGTTTTGCACCCACCAAAGGAAGAGCAACTTCCCACACATATATCCCTGGAGGGTTACATGCTAATGGTAGATTGTCCCTTAAAGGGCTGAAAGAGGTTCTCTGCATTTTCCAAACTTTCCAGATTGAATGTCCACAACATTCTTAAGTGTTCAAAATGAAACTGTCACTGTGAAAGTATAACATTTAAATACACGATTCTTTCCAGGCTTACTATGCTCAGGTAGCATCTCCTTGCATACACAGTCACTTTGTTGCCTGACTTGCTGGGTGAACTGATCATCACCACTCTTGACTCATACAGGATTAAGACTGCATTGAGTCTGTAAGTTGGAGAATCCTAGGAAACCTCACTGTACTTTTAGGAGCATTTCTGGAAGCCTCTGCTCATTTTGCTTTACCCACAGGATTATATGCTGTTCATCTGTTACCCACTCCTGACCTGAGCCACCCACTGCTGCCATTTAATTATACCAGGTGACAAGGTACAGACTCATCAATCAGGTGCTCAGGTTCAAGTTCAGTGGCTTCCCGGAGTCAACGCAAATCCAAATCAAACTGGCTAGAAGGGGCAAAAATTGGATGGGTCTGGAAGAAAAAGACCCAAACTCTTCTTTTTCTCTCTTGTTGCTACCCTGATTTTTATTCTTTCTATTTTAGCTTTTTCTTCTTCTAGTTTTCACCTCTGGATTTACTGTCAGTTTGTACCTAATGTATTTCAGGAACTCTGATGGCTGCCTTCACAAATACATGCCTCTTGGTGTACCAGTAACATGAATATTTTCATTTCCATCTTATAGGTGAAGAATCTGAGGTTCATAGCAGCTAAATCATGAAGTGGAAGTCACAGATCCAGTGAAGGATAAAATGCCAGCCCCTGCACATCCGTGGCTTTTTCTACTATACCACCTCTTTCATTTTCCTTCTTTAATCATCCTCTGACTTCTGTTTTCCCGTTACCTTCTATCCTTCTCTTCTAAGGAGCACGTGTAAAATTAGGAAGGAGAAGTGAACATGCAATGAAAATACCGGAGCTCAGCTTTCACCCACAGTATCTCCAAAAATAATTTCAACTCAGGTAAGTAGATACTAGGCATTCATTCCAATGTTTACTAAATGATAATGGTGTGACAGATACAATCTAAAATAGTCCAAGTAAAATAAGGGTAAGAAACAAAGAGTTTGTGGTTCAGGAATACACCCATTATTATTTGGTTTCAAAAGGTAAAGAGACTGAGGCTTAGAGGAATTAATGCACCTCTTTAATGTCAGACCCAGAATAATTTTTGATGCCAGATTTCAAGTTTCAAATATTTGGCTTCAGATTTCAATAGAAAGAGGCAAGGAGTTGGAGTGGAGGTAGGGTGGGGACAGAGGCAGATACACACAGAGACAGACAGACAGAGAGACAGAGAGTACAAGAGCCAGTAGACCCCTCATCCTGCTGAATCCTAAGACAATGACATTGATGAATTCTTTCCTTTTTACCTGGGAGAGCAAAAGCTGCAAAGAGCCCAGGCTTTCACTCCAAGGTCTGGTCAGTGGTTGTGCAAGGCAGACAATGGATGCAATGAGGTGCACCGTTCTTTACCTGCCTCCTTTCAGCTCTGCTTTTGTTCACCTTCGTTGTGGTCAGACTTTACATCCTCCAGCTTAAAAAAGAAGCCTTTCTGCTTGTCCTTGGTCTCTAGGCAGTGAAAACTTCAATCTCTTCAGCTAAAAGAATGATTCCCACTGCCCAAACAGAGATGGGCAAGATCAGAAATAAAACATGGAGCTTCGAGTGAAAAGGGAAAAAAGGGGGAGGAAAGAAGATGGTAAGAGAAAAAGAAGGTAAGAGGAGGAGAAGGGGGAGACAGATTTTATGGTTTGGATCTGGAATGTCCCCAAAGGCTCAGGGGCTGAAAGCACGGTTCCCAGCTGATGATGCCACTGGGAGCCAGTGGAGCCTTTAGTAGGGCCGGGAGGAGGCTCTCACTGGGGTGTGCCCTCGAGGAGACAGTGGGCCTGACCTCCCCCCCTCCCTCCTCCCTTTCACTTCCCAGCCCCTGAGATGAGCAGCTGCTCTACCACTCGTTCCCCGCCGTGATGTACTGTGCTGCCACAGACCAGGATAACGGGCCAGCTGTTTTGGAGGCGTGGACCTCTGAAAGGATGAGCCAAAATAAATCATTTCCCCTTTTAAGTTGTTCATCTCAGGTATTTTGTCACAGGGACAGAAAGCCGATTATCACACTGAAGGAAGAGGAAGCAGCAGAAGAAAAGTGTTCGTGACACCTGCTAAAACTAGTAAGGAAGACTTATACGAAGTAGAATTGCTACCAGGGGATTTGGCACAGAGGAGACAGAGTGAGCTCGACTCCGAATGCAAGGCCAGTTGGAGATTTATAGCCCAGGAGCAGGTTGGGGCAGAGGATGGAAAGTTACTAAGGGGAAGCATCAGGTCTACTGGGATATTTACTGGATCCACTCAACAGGACTCTGCTAAAACTGAACAAGATGGTCAAGGACAAAGCCCAAGGCCAAAAAGAGGGCTTAGATGAACCTGACTACAGTTTGGTTCAGGGAAGAGTTTCTGTCAGTGGTGATTATGATGGCGTTTGCATATAACATTTATTGAGCATTTGTATGCTGTCCGAGGTCCATCCCTCATACTGCAGGTAAGTTGTGCTGAAGGGCTTTCCCTGGTACGCTGAGACTTATGAAATTTGCAAGCACATAATTTAAGAACCACTGCTCTAGGGACGATCTGTCCTGGGCCTCTCTGAATAACCATTTTCAATATTTCATGGCACTAATGAAGAAAGAAAAACACCATCAAAAGCCAGCTACCCTGGCGAATACAGTAGGATAACCTCTGACCTGCCACTTAGGATGGGAACAACTGTGCAAAGAGTCCTCCCCTGCCACCACCACCTGCCCTCCTGGCTGTAGGGTACTGTTTATGGCCTGGGTGGTGAGGCAAGACAGGAGACCGCTCTGCACACTTGCAAAGGTCTGAGCCAGGCCTGGCCATCCAGGTGCCTGCCACTTACAAGAGCAAAATTTTTTCAGGTTGAACTTTGCCTGTTGCCCTGGGGCCCCTGGAAGGTGCAATGCCTTTCTCTTTCATTAATCAACAGTGGTGGGTACACAGCAGGCAGGAAGGAGCTTGGGAGGGGGAAGGAAGAGAACTTCACGCAGGGCAGGCAGGGGTTCCCTGGCCTCTACCTCCCAGGCTGGGGCAAACTGAACCAGAGCGGGCCACAGGTCCATAACTCATCCTAATGAAGGGCCTCAGTAAACCTGCCAAGCCCCGGGGTGTCAGCAGGAAGCTCCTGGCCCTTTTGCTGACAAGGGTCCAAATGTGCAGGTGGTAATGGAGCTCTTTCCTCCCGGGGTTTTTATGGCATGTTAAGGAGCAGCTGGAAACTTTGGGACTTATTCCATCAGATCCCTGGAGAAGGGGTGGTGAACCCCAGGTCTTGCTCTGGGAGATCCCAGGAGCTATTGGACACCCTTCCATTCAGCAGCAGGAATCCTGCTTTGGCAGGCAGCTAGTGGAAGATGTGTAGTGGCAGCGGCTTTGGTTGTAAGATGCTGGATAGAATGAATTATATTCAAAACAGGTAAGAACAGACAAAATTCATTTAAAAATTCACTCTAGGCCAGACCTACACTTTGCTCCTCTATGTACTGTCTCACCTCCTACAACACCCACATGGGGTTGTCAATCCTATTTTCTATGTGAAGTAAATGAAGTTCAGAGGAGCTCAGTGATCTGCCCAAAGTCACACAGCCACACAGGTCAGTCTGACTCGAGAGCCCCATGTCCTGTTATGCTTAGTGAGCACTGTACAAAGTAGCGGATCTTCATTATGACCTGAAAGGGGCTGGGGATTTAGCTCAGCGGCATAAGCACCTGCCTTGCAAGCAGGTGGTCATGAGTTCGATCCCTGGTGCTGATAAAAAGTTAAAAAAAAATACATTATGACCTGAAATAGGCAATGCTCTGGGCTCCCTATAATTAACATAGTTTATAGATGAGCAAAACAGAACTGAAGGAGGTATAAGGTTATGCACTAGGTAACACAGTAAGTGTCCTTAGCCATGATTTGACAGCCTGTCACATTAGCCAAACAATCCTTGGGGGAAGGCCATCCTGAATGAACCACTGCTTCCTAAGGTTAGTTAAAATCCTCAGTTTTTTCTAGCATTTCTCAATTTTTCCTCATGCCCTCGAGGAAACTCACAGACACTGAAGGCAGAACTCTTACTTTATTTTTTATTTTTTCCCAACCTGCAGAGCTTCCAGTTAAGTTTTCAATTAAAGATGTAGTTAAGATGATGTTAGAGTAATTATTTTAAAATATTGTAGCCCTTACCTAATTCCAGAAGAGTATTGAAATAGTTCATTAAAAATATAACCTATGGGGCTGGGGATTTAGCTCAGCGGCATAAGCGCTTGCCTTGCAAGAACGGAGTCGTGAGTTCGATCCCTGGTACCAATAAAAGAAAAAAAATTAGAAAAAAAAATATAACCTATATATGTCTTCCAATGACTAAATTGCAAACTCGTAAAGGAATGGTCATTTGTCTACTTTCTATTTCTTGCTCTTCCCATCCCAAAGCGAAGGGTTTGTCTGTCTATCCATCGGTCTATATTATCCATGTATATCTATTACTATATGTCTGTCTATCTTTTAATCTGTCCATTCATCTGTCTATACATAGGTATCTATCTGTCTGTCTGTCTATCTACTCATCCATCCAACCATCTACCTAATAACCTCTCCACAGAGGAAAGGGAGAAATGGCAGCACTGGTACTAAAAGACTGAGAGTCACTATGGACTTGCCATTTAAATGGTTCAACATAACTTGGCAATCACAGAAGAAAAGCAGAAAAATTATCGTTGAAGACATGATGGTGTTTGTGATCTGTTTTTCTTTTGACTATGGCTGAAACCTCACGTCAGCAACAGCGTATAACTTATCCCACCAGCTCATCTCTGGTCCCTTCCTTACACAATCATTGACAGATGAGTTCCCAGCAGTCCAGTACTGAGCAAATCTACACCTTGAACTTAGAAATTTTTCCTACAGTTCCAAAGCAAGTAAATTGATGACAGACTTAAATCTACTGATCTTTATTAAATGATAAAGCACATGCAAAATATCTTATCCAAAATAAGAATCTGGTTCCCTTGCTTGCAGGTGAGAAGAAATACTGTTTCTCAGAACTATTTGACAACCAAGTGGTCATCACACTGAGCAATGAGATATACAAAGATTCCATCTAACCTAACCTAACCTCACCTCATTATTGCCTCCATTTCTGTACATGATTATAGTTTTTCCTCTGTATCCATAGGGGATGGGTTGTGGGACCCCAATCCCCTTCTTAAACCCAAGAATGCTCAATCCCTTATATAAAATGACAGTATTTGCATATAACTCATGCAAATACTCCATTTAGTTTCATCTCTAGATGATGTATAATACCTGGTAAAATGTAAATGTAAATATAAATAGTTGTTGTATAATACTGTTTGTGAATAATAAAGGATTTTTTTCCACTTGTTTTAATGGTTGGTTTAATCCATGAACATGGGACATGAGGATATGGAGGGCTTGTCTTATATATATTTATCTGACAAACATTTGGATACACACACACACACACATATACATATGCACATGCACAGATATATAATGGATATATACCTGTTATTTTAATAGTCATACTATAAGACTCTGGGCTAATAAGGACCTGAAAAACTTACTAGTCTAACCTCTCCCTAAGTACACATACTTGAAAAAGAAAGCAGAAAAAAAAAAAAAAAACCCCAGGAGATCACCACTAATTTAGGCTGAGAATTTCTAGCAAAAGTTGCCAGGTGTTGAGTGCCATCAGTGTGTTCTAAACTTCACACAATTCCAAACTGATGAGATCTGAGGTTGCAAACTGGCAAACAGGAAATTGTCGCTGTGATCTCCTGTTCTTCAAAAGAGACCCTTTGTTGGGTGGTGTTTGTCAGTTCAGAGTTTAATTAGACATCTACACACACTCAATCAGGGCTCAGCAGGGAAGTCCAAACACTGTCAGGCTGCAGGCAGTGGCACAGGTCTCTGGGCAGCTCTGCCTTGCTAAGAGCTGTCCACCGGGGAGGCAGCTTGCCAACCACCCTCGGGGAATTGCTCCTCTTTGTTCCAATGCTTAACACCACAGGGGGAGGCCAACCAGAATTTCTCACCTATCTGGCAATTAGAAAGGGAAAGCTCACTGTCCATTGCTTAACATATCCACCCAGAGGAAAAAACTGTCCTCCTGGTTAGCTCTTCTTCCTCCCTTCAAAAATCGCTCTCTGAAGGGCCTTCAATTGCACTTCTTTGGGATTTTACTCTCTTCTTTCAGAAAGCAGTCTCCACCTTTGCAGTCCAAACAGGATCATGCTTGGATAAGTTCTCCAAATATGTGCACATGGTTAAGATCAAAGAAAAGAATTCTAGAACCCTCAACTTCTTTGTTGCAATCCCCTCTTCCTGTAATTAGGAGTCGGGATGGGATATTTGTAAGTCTTTTTCAATGGTACCACGGTACCTAGTCCGCAAATTTTCAGTCCGATTCGCTACTCACACATGCTTGTGGGTTGACTCCAGTGGTATTTAGGGGAAATGAAAAATTGAAGCTGTGGCTTCCTTTTCAAAATTGAAATCTTACAAACACACACGCACACACACACACACAATTTCTAGTTTTTTTCTGAAAAACAAAAATAGTAGAAGCTTTAATAATTCCAAATCCTTACACCTGCATGATAAACCTCGTCTTAGGCGGATTAGGGTTGCCCTCTACCAGGAGGACAAGACACTGTACTGGATTGGGTAGGGGGCCCAGAAATCTGAAAGCAAAGCTGAGCCATTGGTTTCTACTGGGAGGAAGAGGTCTCCTTCCCAATCTACACAAATGTGTCCTATGGGCCAGAGGCAGCCACGTACTTTCACTGGGTACCTGGTCAACTTCACCCACTGATGCTACCTGCCTCTCTTAGCACAAGGGTGTAATTCCTGCTATATCCATAGCTATAAACTTTTTACAGGTTCAACAGCAGCAACACATAGATTAGATTTCTACTCAGGGTTTAGAGATAGCTATTATCATGATGCTGTCCATAACAATTCTCCCTAGACCCTAGGTTTCTTAAATTCAGCCCTCTAATTTCTGCTTATTCTTTCTCATTTCCCATGTTGCAGGAGAAATATCACCTCACTCTCAGAACCAGAGCAGGTCGGCTGGAAACACATGTGGCTCATTACATTGTTGAGTTACAAAGAATGAGAACGGCTGGTCCAATTTCTTCATGGAGCAGCCTGCTGTCTCTGAGGTTGTCAGCAATCTTGGGCTTCTGCTTTTATGACATCTTCTGACCCAATGAGCAGACCCGGGCCATAAAATGCAAATCATTTCGGCAGTCAATTAATCCCACTGAAATCACTTCAACTAAGACAGCAGTAAAAGAAGGGGAAAGAGTTTTTCCTCTCTGGTCTTGCTCTACTCAGAGGTAACCTGGAAATCTTAAAAGATTTTTAATTGTCCAATCCACCCCAATTCCTCAAATCCAGGCCACATGCATGGCTGTTTAAGTCTAAATGAAACTTAACGAAATGGAAATGAGGAGGTTACTGCTGTGACTCAGGGCTGCTGGTGTTGATACACAAACCGGACACAAACTGCCCCAGCCCAGCAAGACAAACAGCTATCTTAAAGCGAGCAGCAAGCAGTAGAAAGCTCCCACACAGAACTATCCTCTCCACAGTTTCTAGACTGGTGAATGCTCTGTGGGTTCATGAAAAATTCCTTTTATGATTTTCACAGCTTGATAAATGGGGTGATCAAACCATAGGCAGAAATGACATGGGAATTGCCAAGGGGCTACGTCTTGCCCTCTTTCAAAGCTGGTCCATGACTGGCACCTATAATCTCCACCTGAGTCAGCCTCAGTGTACCAGCGCAGAACCTAGAGTCAGATTCACCTTGTTTCCATGAGGAGGGGGCTCCCCAAATCATTTCTCAGAGGCCTTGATTTCCCCTAGACAGCTTCATCAAACTTGTCAAGTCTCCTCTACAGCTGGCAGTTGCTCTTCCATTCTCAGCCAGGAGATGTGTTTCAGAAGTTCTAGCACCAATGTAATCGATTTCATTCTCCTGTGAGAATGAATAGTCAAGACCAGGGAGCACAAAGCTTGGAGGTCACACAGGCTAACCATCCCATTTTTTTAACCATCCCATTTTATACATGAACAAAACACAAGTGACTTACAGGAGGGCAAGCAGCAAGAACTGGAACCCAGGAATCCACAGGCATAATGGTAAGTTCTCACACTATGTTAGGAAATGAATTGCTTGGGTCTCAGAATAATTTTTCTTTAAGGAAAGGGCTTCAAGGTGATAGCCAGACTCCTGTCCATAGGTATCTATCTAGCTAGTTAAGGTGTGTGTTCTGGAATATAACACCAATGAAATCCTTTCATCTATATCTAATGGTTATTTGAACCATTGAGCCTGAAAATTCATTTGCAAAATGAACATATGAAATACAGTCAGCCTGACTTGAAATCAAAGAAACACAAAGAGGAATTACAGAGAGATAGTATTTTTTTGGTCCATGGAGGAAAGATGGAATAAAAAAAATCATAAAACTGATGTTAATACTAGCAAGAGTCCAATAAAGCTGAACCTCTTAATTCTTGTTGTTAAGAAAAAAATTAGTACAAAGTTCAAAAAAAGAGTTTGGTAACATACATCAAGAGCCTTAAGAATATCCTTTTTTTTTTTTTTTTTTTTTTTTTTTTTTTTTTTTTTTTGTTTATCCTTAGTGCATTTTGTGGAAATTTGCCCTGGTCAGAAATGTGGACACAGGTTAAGGCACAAATATTCACTTTGCCAATCCTAGTACAGGTTACATACCGCTTATTCAAAGTACTTAGGACCAAGACCTGTCAGATTTTGGAATTTTGTACATTTTAGAATACAATTTGCAGTGACAGCTTCAGCAACACAAATGCTAGAACACTATTTGCAAAGACTTTACCAGTTTACCATGTTTAAATCCAAAAAATCTGGAAATAGTCTAAAATCCAAAACTTTTGAGTATAATGATGGTATTTAAAAAGTTTCAGACCTCACAGCATTTCAGATTTGAGATTTTTAGATCAGAGTGCTCAACCTGTGTAACTAACAACAACCCCTCATTGCTTTTCAATGATGGAATGGCCAAAAGAGAAGTCCTTGAGTGTTGGGTAATGTAAGAATGCAAACCTGGAGAAGAGTAGGAGACTAGAAGACTAGAGTTGGAGAAGACTAGAGAAAACAGGTGCTGGGGATCACCATTATTCAAAAATTGGTCTTTAAACTAGTGCTGATCCTGGAACTATTTACCATGTAACAATGAATATCAGCAATACAGAAATTGAATAAATACATGGAAATTTGACATTTTGCACTCTGTCTTTTTCAAAACAAAACAAAATAGTCTTTCTTTCATGGAATTGGAGAAGCATGCACTTTTAGGAAAGCATCCTGAGGTATGCTGTCAAAGAGGAGAGGACAGAATCCAGAAAGAGGTGACTATCATCACCCAAACATGACTGTTTTATGAGAGGGGACAGGAACTCCCAACACATTCAGCTGTCACCATCTCCTGGTGGGTGGTCTTGGTAGTTTGGGGGCATATCTTTATCTCTTGTCTTTGATTGTTGGAGCTGAGATTGCCTGCAGGACTGTGAGACCAACAGGCAAGGTCAGGACAGATGCTGCTCCCAGCACCTCTGTGCATCTGAATAAGCTTTTATTTCAGTGTATCATTAGGTACTACCTGCTTGCCCAGTGGAAGGCAGGAGAAGTGCATCTACCCTGGGGAACATTATGTAGTCATCTAAAATGTTTTCCAAAAGAAATAACATGCAACAATCTTCTCTGCATTTCCTGGACTACCTGGAGGCCCGACTTCCCTTGCTTCTAGAAGGTGGACCAGGGAAAGGAAGAGGGCAAGAACACTTTTCAATGCTAATGTCTAAGATTCCCTGCCCTTGTAAAAGGTTTCTATTGCTGTTTTGTAGGCCAGTGACTCTCTATATTCTCTAAAATAGGAACATGGGATAGTCACTAGAAGTGAGAACTAAGCAGCCAAATTCCTATTGTGTGGAGGACTGCCCATGTGTTCTTAAGTGAGAAAAGTCCACCCTTTCTCTTAGGTTGTTCTCACCTTGACCAGGCAACACACAGTATTTCCAGAGTTTCAGAAGACAACATGTGTGCTAGGAAGGGCTCATTCAGCCAACTGCAAAAGGCTGAGATCCATACTGCCCTCTACTTCCATCAGTTTTTTCTTAGAAGAAGCTATTCTTTTCTTTGATAGCAACAAAAGCTAACACTACAACAAAAATAGAGCCAACACAAAGGAATTCATAGCATAAAAATCCTCTCCATGGCAACAGCAT